TTCTTCTTCCAGCATTCCTATCATAATGTGTAAAAAGCTCTTACTAGACCTATATCTAGATCTAGATCTACAATGAATAAATGACAGTGCTAGATCTAGATTAAAAAAATAGTGTTTCTACTTTATTCGCCAGCATTAAAAGAAAGAAAAGTAGTACGACCCAACTCACGGGCTTGCTGTTTTGGTCTTGAGTCGGCCAGAAAAATTGTAAACATAGGCCAAGAAGATCTAGTATCGAGACATGAGATTTGGTGTTCACTGGTTTTTAACTGTCAGGACTATATTCTACAGGAAACAAAATACCACAGAAGAACGTAAAGTTTTTTCAATAACGGGAAGTAACCAAGAATAATACTGTTGAAGATAGTACAATAATATGGATTAATTTCCTTGTCACCTTGATATCTACAAAGAAGGACTTGATTGTTGTTTTGGGATGGATGTCATGGTCTTGGCTTACGAACTGAACATAAGGCTCTATTCTATGGGAAGGTCGCTTGCAAATAACAAAACAGGTCCTTTTACCTCCTTTGTATCCCTAGCCTTCCCCTCTCAAACTTAAAAAAGCAATTAAGACTAGGGTGTGGCTGAAAGACAGCAATAAGAAGGAACCAAGCAGTAGCAGAAGATGAAAGACTGCAGAAAGATTCAGGTTACAGAGCAATAAAGGAAGTGAAAGGAGAATATTTTAGAGAAGAAAAATGTATGTTGCTATCAAGTTTCATGTTTGAAAGAGAGGCGAACGCCGTAACCTCTATACCACTAGTAGAGAGAGGGGGGGGCAGAAAGAGAGACAGACAGACAGACAGACAGACAGACAGACAGACAGACAGAAGGGGGGGGTCGCTATAAAGAAGGAAGTGAATGAGTCCTACATAATTCAATTTCAATTATTCACTGTCTCAAGTATGATAACTCCTTTCACTCCTATGTGATCTAAACTCCCAAGCCAACACAACTCTTCAGTGGATACCAGGTCGCTGTGGCTTTCCTGGAAATGAAAAATCAGATGACTTAGCAGAAGAAGGAGCCAAAATGACCCAGATTGAAGATAGCATGGATCTCACTGAGTCAAAAACGCTAATATAATCTTTAAAAATCTGCGTTAAGAAACAGATAGAAAAGATACCACCCTAATCACAATAGACGTGACCCCTACTACATGCTAAATAGAGCAGACCAGGTCACAGTCTTTCGACTCCGTTGTAGCCACAACAGACTCAAACTCCACAAGCACACTAAATTTAAAATGAGAGAGTCCGCGATCTGTGAATGTGGACACGAACAAGAGGATGCCAACCATTTCCTTCAGCACTGCCCGCGCTACGCCACCCTTTGTACACACGTGGCAGAATGTGACTCCTCTTGAGAGAAAGCTCTAGGCCTACGGCAGTCTCTTAGATTTGAAGAGGACTGACTGCACAGTTTGTGCGCGACATCGGACTGTCTAGCTGCTGTCATGGAGAACAATGAAGAAATCCACTTTCTTTCTTCCAATATCTCCCTCTATACGTCGCCACCATTCCTTCTCTACCCCAACCCTCACCCCCGAACCCCTCTCCACCTCTTTCTCTTTCTCTCTCCTTTCACCCTGTTTCTCTCTCTCTCTCTCTCTCT